TCTGTAGGTCAATGATGTTCTGTAGGTCAGTGAGGTTCTGTAGGTCAATGATGTTCTGTAGGTCAATGATGTTCTGTAGGTCAGTGAGGTTCTGTAGGTCATTGAGGTTCTGTAGGTCAGTGAGGTTCTGTAGGTCAGTGAGGTTCTGTAGGTCAGTGAGGTTATGTGGGTCAGTGAGGTTCTGTAGGTCAATGGGGTTCTGTAGGTCAGTGAGGTTCTGTAGGTCAGTGAGGTTCTGTAGGTCAGTGATGTTCTGTAGATCAGTGAGGTTCTGTGGGTCTGAGGTTCTGTAGGTCAGTGATGTTCTGTTGGTCAGTGATGTTCTGTAGGTCAGTGATGTTCTGTAGGTCAGTGAGGTTCTGTAGGTCAGTGAGGTTCTGTAGGTCATTGAGGTTCTGTAGGTCAGTGAGGTTCTGTAGGTCAATGATGTTCTGTAGGTCAGTGGGGTTCTGTAGGTCAGTGAGGTTCTGTGGGTCAGTGGGGTTCTGTAGGTCAGTGATGTTCTGTAGGTCAGTGAGGTTCTGTAGGTCAATGATGTTCTGTAGGTCAGTGGGGTTCTGTAGGTCAGTGAGGTTCTGTGGGTCAGTGAGGTTCTGTAGGTCAGTGAGGTTCTGTGGGTCAGTGAGGTTCTGTGGGTCAGTGAGGTTCTGTAGGGCTATGCCAGCAGTTCTGCTGCACATCCTGACAATCCCCGAGAGTTTGTTCCTGTTTTTGCATGTTAACGATCCAAACCAACAGATGAAGGTGAAAGTTAAGAGACTCAATAAAACGTTCTCATAAAAGTAGAATCAACACTAAAACCACAGAACTTCTGATAAAAATACATTCTCTGGTGGACCTTCTTACAAAGTGAGTTCACGTGGGGGTGAAAGGTCAGTTTGTCATCAAGAACAGTTCCCTGATATTTATATTGTTGCGCCACCTCAACAGCTTCACTGTTCCTTCACCACAGGAGCTGCAGCTGAAGAGTCTTTTCTGAGATCACTGACCAGCTCCTTTGGTCTTGTGCTCGTATTCATGTCTGGTTTGGAGCTCTTTAAGCTCTTTTTCTTTGTGGTGTGGGAACAGAACCAGTTTATCACCATAAACGTCTTCAGCCTCCTTGCCTTCTTTAAGGTGGACGTTTTGATCATAGTTAGCTGTGACCCCCAAACGTCACCGTGTTTTTATTGTGAGGGCTCAGAACTGATCTGGGAGCAGTTTGATAAAACTGCTGCAAGTTTTTTTATTTTGAAATAAATTCTGTTTTTCCAGGGAGGACTTCGACCAGGAAGAGAAGGCGAAGTTTGGAGAGCTGTGCAGCGGAGAGAACGGGAAGGGCAGGGAGTGGTTCGCTAAATACGTCAGCGCCCAGGTGGGTCCAAGGTCCGGTCTGAGCTCTGAAGGGAAGAAATGAGAACTACTCCCCCCCTTTTTTTTTTCAACAAGTGTATTTAAATTCTGATGAGTTTTTGCACCTCAAAAAGCAAATGTCCCCAAGAACCATCAGAAGCTGCTGGCTTCAAACTGTAAGAACGGAACTCCTCGGTCCGGTTTCTGGATCAGCACAAACGTTTATTGTGAGAACGTTTATGAAGCATTCTCACTATTGAGATCCAGTTTTCTTCCGTACGTTTGTCGGCCTCTTTCTTGTTCCACAACTTTTGTGCTATTTCAACAAATCATCTATCAAAATGTTCAGCTCTTTCAGGATAATCCTGCTATGACTTTTGGTATTGGTTCACTTTAGCTTTTTGAAATATTTAGCCTTTTCTGCCACTTTTTTCTCAGAAAAAATAAATTTAGCTCATTTTACATCCTTCATATCTTTAGGTCTGTTTACAACCTTTTACTGCTCCTTTCACATTTTGTTTTGTTCAGCTCCTTTCAGCTTCCCTGGTGGAAAAAAAATCAGCTACTTTCAGCTAATATCAGCTGTTTTTTCAGCTGTTTTGTGCTCTTTTCAGATTCTTTTCGAACTACAACATTTTTGTGCTTCTTCTAACTTGTTTCTGCCAGTTTCAGCTTGTTGTGCTCCTTTCAGCCATTTTCAACTTTTCTGCTATTTCAGCTACTATTTAGCTATTTTTATGCAAATTTTAGCTTTTTAAGCCAATTCCATATTTTTTGCACTCATTTCAATTTTTTTCAGCCTAATTCAGCAAAAATCTGCTCCCCACATCCTTCTGGAAACTTAAGCGTCTTTCTACTTTTTTTTAGTTACTTTTCAACTATTTTCTTTTTGCTAATTTATTTATTTTTTTTAGATAATTTCCACCTTTTTTTGCTTCTTTCTGCTTCTTTCAGCCTAATTGGGCAAACTTGTGTTCTTTCTGATTTCTTCTGCTAATTTAAGCTACCTGTTCAGCTATGTGTTTAGCAATTTTTAAGAGGATTTAAGCAGTTTTCAGATGAACTGAACGTTTTCATGGTAATTTTTGCGACTTTCAGCCTAATTAACTTCTTTATGCTAATTTCAGCTTGTTGTGCTCCTTTTGGCTTTTTTCCTGCTATTTCAGCTACAACTTGGCTGTTTTATTCTAATTAGCTTTGTCAGCTAATTCCACTTTTTTTCACATTTCAGCTCTTTCTGATTCATTCTGGTAGTTTAAGCTTCTTTCTGACATTTCAGCTACTTTTCAGCATTTTTTTGTTGTTGCTAATTTCAGTTTTTTTTTAATCCAATTTCCTAATTTTTGTGCTCATTTCTGCTTATTTTAATCTAATTCAGCAATTATGTGTTTTTGCTGGTTTCTTGTGGTAATTTAGGATTGTTCTCACATTTCAGCTACATTTCATTGTGTTAGCATGTTAGCTAATTTCAGCTGTTTTTCAGCAAGTTCTTTTTCAGTAAGCATTCACACTGCAATTTCGCAGGAAATGCAATTTCTCTAGTTAAATTATTGGTTGCTCATCTGAAAGAAACATCTTGAGCTCTAATCAGAGCTAAACTGTAAAAGATGTGTAAAGGTTCTGGGAAGTTCTGAACCTGTTTAAACTCTGGATGACGGTTCTGACATCTGAGCTGGAGGTCCAAACATCACGTCTATGGAGATATTTTTACATTAGTTTTGATCTCCGTTGTTTGATGTTCTGTAGCTGAAGGTCCGAGCTCGGACCCGCTGCAGGTGGAGCAAAATGAAAACTTTAATTTTGTGTCTGTACTTTTTATTAAACGGTCAGAATTATTCCAAATGTTTTAATAAAGGTTTATTTTCACCTCGGTGGTTTGAACGTTTCGTTACAGTCAGGTTTCAATGAGCACGTTCAAGCAGCAGAGGAAACCTCGGATAATTCCTCTAAATATTTAAAAAATATCCATTTAAAAAAATTTTGTCTTATTTTGTTTTAAGTTGTGACTCGTGAAACAAACGTTTGCTGATTTGTCTTGTTTGTTTCTGTCCTTGTCAGCGCTGCCACTCCAAATGTGTGAGCGAAGCCACCTTCTACCGGCTGGTGCAGTCGTTTGCTGTGGTTCTGTTTGAGTGAGTAGAACCGGGTTCTGTTTCAGAAAGCAGCTGCTCTTGGCAGTTCTCATAAACTTATTTTACCAAAGGGGTTCATCTATAAAACCTGAAACCTTCAGTTAATCGGGTTCTGCAACAGTCTCTGATGTTCTGGAACAAAGATGGTTCTAGTACCTTGGATCTGACCCATCTGAAAACACTGAGACAATAAAGTTCCTGTAAAAGCTTGTAGGTGTTCAGGTCTTCGACCCGGTGCAACAAAGATCCTGAAGTCCATCAGGGAGGTGGTTTTGAGACGGCTCCGGGTCACCAGAACCAGATTTGAGGGGTTAAAGCTGCTGGCATATCCAAGTGTTAGCTTGGTGGTTTTAATGTTTTGGCTGATGGAGGCGTGTTTTGAAGTAAGATGAATCGTGTTGATGTCGTTAGTTAAATGTAATTATTTTATGACCACTATTAAGGATTATTGATTAATATAATATTAATTATTGCTTAATATTACGGATATGAATAATTATTTATTAGTATTACTAATATGAATGATTATTTATTAATAAAACTAATATGAAGGATTATTGATTTGATATTATACCTAATATTAGTGATGGTTGGTTTCCAGGTGTTATCAGATGGACGACTACAGTCCGGCCAAAAACCTCATGACCATGTGCTTCACCTACTACTACATGGGTAAGGTCCGGACCTCCCTGGGTCCTGCTCGTCTTTTCAGCGCCTGGTGTTTCATTTCTTCTTCTGCTGAAGATCTGACTGATGATCATTCAGGGACACAAACTGCTAAAACCACAAGTTTACATACACAGTACAACAACTGAAATTAAATCAGACGTTCCTGGATTTAGGATTCACTCATTTTCTGTTTGCTCAATGCCTGAGCTTAAGAAAGTCCAGGTGATGATGTCATGACTTTGGAAGCTTCTGATTGGTTAGTTGGCAACTTGTGAGCTAACTGCAGGCACACATCAAACACTGATGCTTATGTTGCATCATGGGAAAATGTAAAGATATCAGGAAGAGAATCGTCCACCTCCATGACTCTGTTTCCTTTTTGAGGAGACTCGTTCTGAGGTCCATCGTACAGATCTGTGTATGTAAACATCTGGTTTCATCTGGATCTAATTTCTGTTTGTGAGTTTTTTATTTACATTTTTATTTACTGTATGTTGTTATTTTGAACTCATGCAGGGCCTTTTACATTCAGTTTTATTTTTCAGTTGTGCCGTTTTCAAGTTTTTTTTTTTGTCTATAAATTAATCAATATACCTTATTGATCCCATAAAGTATATTGATTGATTGATTGGTTGGTTGATTGGTTCAAAAAACGTTTGTTCTGTATTATTGGAGCAGATTCAGAAAGTTGTCCGACATGAACAGAACCACACAGCAGCTGTTTGCATCAGTCGGCTTCAGAACTCTGTGCTGATGCTGGTGGTTCACACCCGGCCTCGGTTCTGTGGTTCTCCTCTGCAGCAACACCACAGACAGGCGGAGTCTGCAGGCAGCTCACAACCCGACCTGTTGCATCAGAACAGGAATCTTGGCTTCTCTCAGGAGTTACTGGCAAACAGATGATCCACAGACTCAAACAGCTGATCCACAGATTCAAACAGCTGATCCACAGATTCAAACAGCTGATCCACAGACACCAACAGCTGATCCACAGACTCAAACAG